CCCCCCCCCCCCCCCCCCCCCCAACATCACGTTGGGATTCGCTGATGTGTAAATGACAGCGGTGAAAAAGCGAAGGCAAACCTCGCCGTGGCCAATAGCAGCGGTGGCTCCGTGGGCGGAGACCGGCGATCTGAGCGGAAATAAAGGCTCGGTGCGCAGCTTCCGAGCGGCTGTTCCTCCTCCTGCTGCTGCCCGGCTGCTGCTGCTGACCCTGCCAGAGTCCGAGACCTGTCGGAGGAGATGGAGCAGAGCCGCGCCGGCCCCCAGAGGAAGTCCATCCGCCCCATAGCCGCCATCTGCAGCAACATGGGGATGGGGAAGGACGGGACCCTGCCCTGGAGTTTACCGTAAGAGTTTCCCTTCAGAGGCTGCTGCCAACTCAGTCTACCTAAAACAAACCCCTCCCATCCTGATGTACTTTTACTTTTACTTTTAAGTCATTGTGCAAGTTTTATGTGTCTGCAACTCAAAGCTTTTTATCTTGTCTGTGTGTGGGTTGAATGCTTCAGTTATGTCTGCTTACATATTTAATGCCACTCTCTCTTTTTAGGGACACTGTTCTTTAATCAAAGCAGCTGCAGCAACTTTGATGAGCCTTATAACACCTTTAAGCTATTATAAATCTATGAACTGAAATGATTTTCCTCCATATTCATTCACAAAAGTAGATCGACAGTGCATTATTGTTCATTTACGCTGACATCTATGTGTTGTTGATTTATTGATCTATTAGGAAGTACCTCAATAAGGAAATATATTGAGGCAGTTTTCTTGTGAGGAGCCAAAAAAAACCCATTTTGTCCAAAGCAAAGCATCCCATTTTGGTGAAACAAACCCCATCATTATGACACAAACGGCTCTTTCTAGCTGTCACGCACGGCGGTGAATAGTGACCACTTTGGCTCATTTTGCTGTCAGTGAGGCGGTCTCCTGAATACCGGAGCATTTTTCAGGGCTAAACATATCCGACATATCCGGCCAACAGCTAAAGCGTGACAGCAGAAATATCCCCGCTCCACAAAATCCACAACAGGACGACTTAAAATAGGACCATTTGATTGCTGTGGTCCCAGTTCCAGACTCCACCACAAAATGAAATGCTCGGATGGGAACTCGAGAAAGCCGTGCATGCCTGAATGAACCGAGGCAACTTAGTTTGGGAAAAGTGGGCCAGAATGCCTCTGCAACAATGGGAGAAATTGTTAATGTCACTTAGAAAACAAGACCTCTGTTACTGATGGAAAACGATGTTCCATTGACAAAAAACAAAAAAATGGTGGCATGAGCTTAGCTTTTCATATTACATCTGCTAAGTAGGAGTAATGTGTGAGTACGGCCTTGTGTTGTGCTCCTGTGAACTGTGTGCGTGTGTGTGTGTGTGTACTTCCCTCATTCTAAGATCTGATAAGGACCAGATCATCTTTAATTATGCAGATCTCCAAGATAACAGTTATAAATGGTTATGACAGCAGGAGCAGCTGTTCTAGGAATATTTGAACATCATGGATACAGTTTAGCATTATAAGTCACATGCACAGGTTTTCCAGTTCAAATTAAAGGAGGTAGACTGCTGCCATGTTAAATCGTTTATGTAGAAGTCGCTCAGTAACTGTGCTCTGCGCCTTCCACAGAACTGAATTCAAGTACTTCTTGGACACCATCTCAAGAGTATCGAGGCCAGGTATTCTTCAGCATTCAATGAATAAAAATATATCATTATCAACATAAGAATTTAATGTACACATATGTTAATTACACATAAGTTATGACAGTTTAAAATATTTTTTTATTATTTTAAGAATAGTTATTTCGCATGTTCGTTCTTTTTATTTAGGCTGAAACATTTTGGTCCAATTTTTTTGTCTTCCTTTAGAGGAATGAATGCAGTTTAAAGTGCACTTAACCTAAAAAATCTTTTTCTCAACTATAGGAAACATGAATTTGATGATCTGGGGAAGGTTGTGCTGGAACTCACATCCACCGAATATGTTTCCTCTGGCCAACGCTTTGCACGTGGTGCTGAGTGAAACTATGAGGTGAGGATTTACCCCCCCATCACAGAATAGTCGTCTCAGGTTTAGTTTACCTTACGTCCTGTCCCGGTGGCATCTCCCTTCCTGCAGCACAGTCCCGGACCACGCGCACTTCTTGTGCCGGGATTTTGAGAGCGCTGTGCGCCTGGCCGCCGAGCCCCCCCTGGCTGACATCATCGAGACCATCTGGATCCTCGGTGGGACACGTGTCTACGAGGTAAAGAAAAATAAATAAATCCAGCTTGCATCAAGACCCGGCAACCAGCCTGGCATATCTGGACTGTAAGCGTGTCTGAATAATGCAAAGTCGGCACTTGTTGTTCCCCTTTCGGGCTGGAGCTGGTGAGGGCCCCCCCGTGACACCGCAGACAGCCGCTGATGGGGTTTTAATGAGAGCTGGACAACAGGGGCTCTCCACCCCGGTGGTCTGCAGCTCACCTCACTGCCATTAATCAGCTTTGCTTTAGAAAGAGCCGGGACCAAACAATAAGCAGCCTCTGGTGGCAGATTAAGGACACAACTTCTTTTTGATGCTCCCCAGCTTGTATTAGTGTCTAACACTGTCACAACGAAGTACCCAGTTTCCAGCATCATTAATTCGTCGTCACTTCCTCCTTAAAGTCTATTTATATTGATTGGCTTCAAGCACATTCCCAGGAAAACCGTTATGTTCCTGCAGTAGCTGTTAGCTTCTCTCCAGAGGGGACGAAAGAATCCGGCTGACAAGAATAGATGAGTTGCCCTTTAGTGTTTTGTTTTGTTTTGTTTGTCAAATTGGGCCCTTTTTCAGCGACGTTTAATCTCCTAAATCTGATTCCTCACAGGAATGTTCTTGCCTAAATCTCCTTTTAGCCATTTCACGTCGGCGAGAGTCAGACCTTCGCCTTTTCCAATGGAGCTGAATTTATTGGCCTCACGTTATTTCCAGCTTAACTACAGTTACAGGTCTAATCGGACAAAATCATTAAGCGATTTTCCCCTTCGGAGAGCGCATTAAGTTTGCAACACACCAGTTTTCTGATTGGGAAAACGGCAACCCAGCCAAAGACAAACAGGCGGCCCCACACTCCTGTTGAGTTTTAATCAAACAGCCACGGTTTCCTTCACTGGACGATATGACCTTTGTATTAGACCCCATAACGAGCTGCAACCATCACGAAAAGTTTATTAACCAAATTAAAATCCACACGTTACCCTTAAATTATGTTTTTTAAAGTTATTCTTTATCACAGATCAGCTTAACTGAAAAGATGGTGTGTGTACGGTGTGTTCAGGCTCTATATTCTTCCTCTAACCAGGATGCCCTGAAGCACCCGTGGTGTGACCTGCTGTACCTGACAGACGTCATGGCCGATTTCGACTGTGACGTGTTCTTCCCCAAGTTCGACAGAGAGCTGTTTAAATTACAGGAGACGTGAGTTGTCAGCTCATTTCTAAAGCGTTTTTAGCTATAAGCTCAGCATCGGCAAAGTCTTCAGGATGAGTCGTCGTCACTGAAGCTTTGAAGAGCGTTATTACTTTAATACTAGTGATTTTGAATTGTAGATTAGTTTAGTCTTTTTGCTATGCAGCTAGTTAAAATGAATTTCAACTATTTTTGTAGAATATTTGCTCATTATTTGGTATTCCCCCTAAAAATGTAAGCTTCTTTTCTACCCTTTTCATAATTGTGTTGACACTAATGCTGCTTGTCTGCATTTTGATTGTCATTCATTTCGTGATTCTGTCTCTGTCCTGATGACTCACAAAATCTGTTTTCTTCTGTTTATAAAAAAAAGATTTCCAGATGTGCCAAGCGAAGTTCAAGAGGAGAATGGCATAAAGTTCAAGTGCCAGGTATTCAGGAGAGACGCTGCTGACACCACGTAGAGAAAAAAAAGAAGGAAAGAAAAGCAAAAAACGGATGCTGTCAGAAAAACAATGTGCATTGTGCATCAAAATCTACTGTTTTCAAAATAATCTGAATTTGAAAAATTCAACGTTGAAAAAGGTGACAGCCTTCCAATGGTTTATGAGTTTAGAAAATCCCAAGTTGATCTAATTGTATGTGATCCCTTTCGCCACTAGGTGGCGGCATCAGTGAGAAAAGGGACAGAAAGTCTGTCTCTGTGGTGCCTGATTATCATTATATTTGTTACCAGCTTCAAACCCAGTAGTGTCGCCTAAAATATGGATATATCACTACAAAATTGCACAGTTAAGCGTCAGCGTTTAATGAATTGAAGGAGCTCCCCCCGTCCATCGTGGCCATGGGCTTCGTCTGGTTCAGAATCAGTAACTGATGACTCAGAGATGGTGTTTTTTTCTATATTATATTTTTACTTTCATTGCTTTTTTCTAGATGTTAATGTTTTTTATAAGGCATGCCGGGTAATGAAGAGTTATTTCTCAAGATCTTTCTTCTTTGCTTATTTAATGTCATCATCATAGTTTCCATCAGATCAAAGGGTGGAATGACTGTCTGGCTTTTACCTTTGCCTTTCTTTGGCCTATCATCTCCTCAGCTGGCTGGTCATTTCCAGGGGGAAAAAAACAAAAAAACATTATTTATACAAAAGGCCAGAGTATTTTTTATCTTAGTTTTTAAATAAGAAAGCATGAAAACCTATTCGAGCAAATCACGTAGAGGAAATTGTGACCCTCTGGATAAACAATTGAACGATCAGGTTCAAACAACTGTCCATGTTAGGGTTTTTTCCTTATCTTTCCTAACTTGAACGCTTGTAAGTTCAAATTAACCACAAAGACACACACGCGTTGTCTCTCCTGACTTCTGCTGAAGGGGAGAGCTCTCTCAGGTCGAGATTCATGCAACTCCGGAGCTCCTGCTGCAGCTGTCTGTTTTTATGGAGGCATTGAAACTGGGGGGGACAATTGTCTCACAACATATGGCAATGCCCATATGGAAAAGTAAAATCAACAAGCCTCTGGATCATGATAAGTGCATGACCCAAAACATTCCAAAATATAAAAGTGTAGTGACACAAAAGACAAAAGTGAGAACTTTATGACCTGAGACATTCCATGTAGTAGCAAAGTGAGACACGATACATTTTATGAGGTAACTACAATAGATCTCTAGCAGTCCTTCTTTCTACTTTTCATTTCTGCTTGAATTTTTAGAAAGTTTCCCTTTTTTTTGGTGACTCCCATGTTTTTTTCCTGTGCCTTTTCCACAAACATATTAATAGAGTGAATGAAAATGTATATATATAAGAACATGCAAGAATAATCTGTCCGAAGGACCCCTTTAAAATATCTATATTCGATTGTATGTGTATTTATACTCGTCCAATCACGCCTCGGGGTGCTTTGTGAAAGCATTGAATAATGGTACAGTTTTATAAGGAGGGGATTAACACAAGGTGGAAGGCAGTCTGTTTCACGCTGACTGAGGATTTACTGTACTGCTGACAGTGAAGCAAGATTTAACTGAATTGTGTTTTATTTGCACAAACAAAGTGGATTTGTGTACAGCAAGAGTTACAGAGAGCTTCATCTCTTGGCTACCCTCACAATTTCCATATCTGTATTGCTGCAAGAGCCTTTAAAGCTAAGATTAGTCATCTGTATCCCAAAGCTTTCTGTGTGTTCTTCCTTTAATTATAATCTATTGCATTAGGTACATCTGCATAATCTACGGATCATCTCTTGATTTCATACTGTGAAATATATAGATTTCATAGATCTTTTTAAAGCTCTTGTAAGTATTTCTGATTTTATTAAAAATGTTATGATGCTGACCAAACCTTGAGTAAATTGCTGTGATTTACAGATAAAGCAGCAGCGTGATCATCGTTTCCTCACATGTTCATGGCCCCTTCAACACCAAAACCGTGTTAAAATATTGAGGGCTTTCTTTCAAAAACTGGTCGACGGGCAAATGTTGGCTATTATCATGCATCAGTCTCACATATTTGAACTCAACCACTCCACATTTGGTTTAGCGGTTAATACATAAGCAGAATGCTTTTTTTTTTTACGATAAAATAAATATTGGCTCCCCTGAAACCCATCAGACTGGCAGAAATCCGACATGCATGCTGATTCACATCCTTGTCAATACTGTGTAGGAGTCGAATCACCCCAGATGATTAATCAGACCTCAGAGCAGCTTTGCGCATCGGCCCCAGAGGGCGCAACATATTTATGTGCTGTTGTTACAATATTTGTCTCATCTTCTCTCTCTGTGGGTGGGTTTTACTCTGTGGCCCTGGGCCCGTGCCATGACTTTTTCAACACAGTCATGTCTTATTTTAATGCAGTGCTCTTGTGTGTCCAGTCTCACAGCCGTTCGTATCAGATTTTTTAGATACTTCTCCAGGAGCCTTCACATGTTAAGAATGCCCAACAGCTCAGGTTTTACATATAGCCCCAAACTATCAAATATGCCTGAATTAAAAACAAGCATGTTAGCTTCTTCTCGTCACAGAGCACGGCCTATAAGTGGTCAACAAAATGATAAAAATCATCAGTCATGACTGAAAAGACAGCGGCACCCAACAGACCAGTGACAGATGAGCAGATGTTCCAGCTGTGGAATCTTATTTACTTTTTGTCATTGAACGTCCATCAGTGTGACGTTTCTTTTCCGCCTGCGGCATGTAAAGTATATTTGTGTTGCCGTCAGGTTGCGGGCAGGTCTGAGAGACGAGCGGTGGCAGAAACCCGGCTTTTTGGCAAAGACTGGGGGAGCACTGGTGACGGGACAGAGAGTTTACCGTGCAAATGTTAATTAACCAGAGTGGCTCACAACACGGGCCTAAAGATAAAAAAGTGAAAACGCAGGACTGACAAGTTTTTTAATAAGAAAAATATGACTTTTTAAAATTATCTTTGCTTCTCAAAGGTTACGTTAAACCTAAGGAGCAAAAAGATTGTTTACATTGAGATGAACGTCTACAGGCCCTGTGATGGACAGACCTGTCCAGGGTGTACCCCACCTGTCATCCAACAGCTCAGTAATAACATGTTTCTTTATAGGAAGAAAGAAAGAAAGAAACTCACACAGATTAAAAATCAGGAAATAAGGCCGTCGGTGCTCGTACTTCGGCTGGAAATCACAGCTTCTAATTGCAGATGTCATCTGCCTCTGCTGAGATATGACCCATAAAAGCACCGTGCTAAGCATGGCTAATATCAACCAGTGCCGTGTTTGAAATGAAAAAGGATCCTTCACACTCTTTTGTATTAACCTCTCTGACTCGTCCGTGTAATTCAAGGGCTTAGCGTGGCTGTGGACAGGGGCCGGGGGAGCCGGGGGTGAGAAATGGATGGGACTTGCGTCCGGGCCTGTCTGCTCCGCCTCGCCCCGATTCACTCTGAATATCTCCTTGTATTTACTGCTCTGTATGGGTGAAAGGCACACCGTAACCTTGCGAGATGATGAGCTGAAGCAAGCGCCAGTGAAAATTAGAAACCTTCGGCATGCCGGCCGCAGTGTACTTGAAGTAATGTTGTGGCCCCTCAGGGCTCCATGTTGGGAATGGCTGGAAAAATGAGCTCCGGTTGGGCATCCATCTGCTGAGCACATATTCATTACCAGATGCACTCACTTTTGCATCATCTGCCCATTGGCCATCGCCATGACGACGGGAACATGTCGAGTGGCGCGTACCGTGGCAGATGGAAGTTGTTAACGCACAACTCCGCGAGTCTGGACACACATGTCCTCCGTCTTTGTCGTGACCCCCGTGGTGAGAGCGAGGGAACCTTGAGGCAGAAACTCGTGGCTTCATTAGCCGCGATGCCAGCGCCCATTAAAAAGCACTTTTTAATTTTTCAAGGGCTTTCGCCGGCTCTTCGACATCCCAACGCGTTTGAAACCAGACATGGAGCATGGGTACGCACAATGCCAAGTAGGGTTTTAAACTAATTTAAAGCCAGTCTTTAAAATGATCGATCACCTAAAAGCTGTCTTTTTCCGACAAATGCGGACTTTACAACCTTTAATGAACAAGGCCGAACATAAAGATCCATTTGGCCTTAACTGAAATGAAATTTCAACGTTTTCTGAAGTAAAGGTTGCAACGACGTTTAGGAGGAGTTTATTCAATAAAGCCAACAATCTAAATCAATCTAAATCTAAACTTCTAAATCTAAACCTAAAAATGATGGTGTGTTTAAATGAATTTAAAGTGACAATAAAGTGACAAACTAATACTGAAACATAGCTTATATAAAGCGTATCCATCTGCGGTTACAATAAAACTGAGCCACATTTCCTCCCTGAGGGGAACAGTTGTGCTGCCAGGAACATTGTGTGAAAATGAGACCCTGGCTGTAAATAAAATGGGCTGAAAAGCCTCAGTTATATCCAATAATACCTTTGACAGACAGCTTATCACATCTGTCAGTATGCTGTTTTGTCAAGCAGCTTTATGTGAACTCGCCCTAATGAGGCAAACACTGCGTCAGCTGCAACGCTGGGACTACTGAGCGCATCTCTCTGATAAACTGTCAGAGATTAAGACATCATTGCCTTTAACTTTCTGACATAAATCTGGGAAGTCATTACTCCGACATCCCCGTCTCTTCCAATATGAATTTACAGTAGCAATAAAAGAGCACCTCTTTAAATGGGGTGCCATCAGACTCAACTGGGGGGAAACTCAATGTTCAGCCAGGAACACTTAAGTCAAAACCATCAGAATAATTGTCTGAAATTATGGCTGCAATTTATACAAGTTAAGTGTGGCTCTGTTCTAGGGGTACTCCACATACTCTGTGTCCAAAAATGGAATGCTTAAGGCAGGGCGACGTAACAAAGACCTCCAAAGTACAGAAAGGGACATGACAATGAGTCAGACAGGAGGATGAGCAAGGGTGGAATCAGAATACAAAAATAGCAACAAAAAAATTGTCTGAACAATGGCTGATAAGTTCTCTTCCTTTTTCTTGGAATTGAAGCAAGGATTAATAAAACTAAATAAAATCAATAAAATATCTTTAAAAAAACAAATGAAATTCAAAAGCAGATTTCAAATGTTGTATGAAGGTATTTCATGTGTCACAAGACATATGAGCAAAAAACATCCATCAGTTCAAGATTTAAGGATTTCTGACGAGTCTGCAGAACATCAGGTGAGTCAATAGCTTGTATGCTCTATGCAGACTCTGGAGGAATAGCAGCAATCAATCTTTACTATTTGCAGAGTGAGACAGTGCAATCTATTTAAAGGAGAACAGATTAAAGGGGAATTGTAGAAAAGAAAAAAAAAGGAGAAGAAACTAGCAGGAGAGCTTAATGATGTTAGATGGAGCAAGTACCTGAAACATGGGCTGTGCTACCTGTGGGAGGGCCAGGTTAGCCACCGGCAGCCCTGACCTCGCCCAGTTACCGGAGGTAGCAGCACCTGAACTGTCAAGAGCACAGGAACATGTCTAAATGGATCCGTCCTGGTGCATGCGATCATGCGCAATTCCTTAGGATCCTTTGAAATGATTGCAAAGATGTCTGTCATATTCTTTTACTGTCAAAACATTGGAGATTAAAACTGGTCGTTGCTTAGCAGCGCCCCGTTCCAACGGCTTTACACAGCATCATTCACTTAAAAAGAAAAAGACACTACAATGCAAGCTATTTTAAAAGGCCTTTTTAAAGTTGTTGTTTTTTTTGGCAAAAACATTCCCGAGTCATTAGAGTATTTATCATTTCTGGAACTGTAAACCGTAAAGTTTCAAATTCAAGGCATCCACATGTCCCAAATACATTGAAATTAACGTTTTCATTATTTTCTAGTTGAACCAGGAACAGAAATGCACATTAAAATTAAGACATTCGAATCTGAAACAGGCTTCATACAGATATAAATAACCTTGACAACAATATACACCTTACAGGTTCATTTATGCTTTCCTCCGTCCAAAAACCTCCTGTCAGTCCTCTAGTTTTAAAGGTGCGACAGGGTTAAAAAGCGGTCTCTCTCGACGGAGCTGAAGTCTCCCAAAGCTCACCTCAAAGTCTTTCTTGGTCCCGTTGAGGACATCCAAACTACCTGTCCTTACGTCGTACCCGCGCGCCTTCAGACGCTGGATGCGGTAATTCACTATCTGTGTCGTCAGTTCAAGAACGGTCGGGGTTTCTGTGATTTGAGCCACGCTGACCCCGGCGCTGAGAAGGCCCCCAAAGCGCTCGGCCAGGGTCGATTCAGGATAGTACAGGAGGGCCGGACATTTGAGGACGATGGCCCGCAGCTCTTCCTCAGAGCAGCAGAGGGCTTCCTTGGAGTAGGTCAGGGTGTGACGCATGCTGTCCGGGTTCAGCTCGATGACGAAACCCCTGAGTTTAGAGAGGAGCTGGAGGAGCTCCGCTGTGCTGAAGCCCCTCTCTTTAAGGTACATCAGGTTCTGTTTCAGCACCTCCGGCGGCTTAAGAAGAACAAACGGGTTCTGACTCAAAAGTTTCTGAAGCCAGATTTTCATGTTGGCCTCCTCCCCCCCGAGCTCCAGATAGGCCAGCTGGAGGGTGTGGACCATCATCTGGTTCTGCTCGACGGGCCGGCTGAAGCTCTGCGGAGCGCTGGCCATGAGCTTGGTGATGATTCGCTTGTTAAGGTTGAGGCTCTGAAAGTACGCTATGTTGTCCCGCTGGTTGTCGTGGTGACTGAAGGGGGTGAAGAAAGAGGCTGGGAATTTTTCTATGATACCGACCAGATCTTTTTGACTCGGACACACAGACATCCACAGCTCTCTCTGAATTTGCAAGTATTTAGGGTTGCAGAGAACAGCCTCGGGATGGATAG